CTGTTCCCGCTGTTGCAGCAAACAGCTCTTGGCTCCAGGATCAGGTTTGAAATGGGAGATGTTGCTTGATGGAACACGGTGAATCAGTTGGCGTGAGCAGCCCTGAGCTGTGTTTGTGTACTGATTTCACTCACAAAATCCATAACATCTTGGCAAGCAGCAGCGACAGCGCGGGAGGCAGAGCGGGGAAACCGTGGAATAACCCAGCGTGGAACAAGGTCTTCCCCTGGATTTGATATCTCTAGGATTGAAGCAATCCCTCACGTGTTCAAATATTAGCTGAGCACTGCATTGCCTGTGGTTCAGGAAACACTGTCCTCGTTGTTGTTGAGAGTTCTGGGGTTGCACAACCACAGAGCAGCAGCCAGGAGTTGCACCCCAACACTGACCCCTCCAGAGCAGGAGAATCCTTCTGCCCGCTGAGCTGCTCCAGGTGTTGGACAGAGCTAAATTGTTCGGGCTGGACTGGAGTCAAAGCTGGAGGGACAAGAACTGCTTGTGGCAGAAGTGTTGTGGTATCTTGGGTGACTGCAGGCACTCACAGCCTTTGACTGATTCGTCATGGAAGCAAGGACAGCACATTGAAGAAAGATCATACCCTCTTCCATAAGTCATAGAATCATGGGATGGCTAGGATTGGAAGGTTAGAAGTGATCTTAAAGGTTTGGCTTGGAAGGGACCTTAAAGCCCATCCAGTGCCACCCCCCTGCCATGGGCAGGGACACCCAGGTGACTCCAAGCCCTGTCCAGGGGACACTTCCAGGCATGAGGCACTCACAGCTTCTCTGGGAACCTGTTCAGGGTCTCACCACCCTCCCAGGGAAGAATTCCTTCCCAAAATCCCATCTATCCCTGCCCTCCTGCCCCTTAAAGAGAGGGCACAGAGCTCTGCTCGAAAGCAGAAGGAGGTGACCACTTCCTGAGCCATCAGCAGCTTTTCTGCACTGCTCTGGATTTCCCCTGAAGAGCCCAGCCTGTCCAATGCTGTTTATCCTGCAAATCTGGTGGGATCAATGTCCACAAATCAAGGAAGTAGGAAATCATAGACCCAGGACAAGAAGAGCTGTTTTCCAGCTTAAAAGACACACATTACAAAAACCAAAGCAAAACTCTTCAGCCTTTCTATTTGGGATATTCTGTCTTTGATGTGTCTTCCCTCCAAGGATGGGAGCAGTTTTTTAGGAGGCAGGAGCAGTCTTTGTTTTTTATTACAAAGCAGAAATCTCAGTGTAGGCTCCTGCCAAAAAAACATGCTGCAAATACTCTCTGTGGCAACCAGGGCTTACAGACAGGGTTTGTTCATCTGTCTCGGCCTGCCTTGCCATACTTTTCTGTCCCTCTTGCCAAATGGAAAATAAATCATTCTGCCCTCTCTGTTCTGGTTATAATTGGCTGGATATGCCATCAGCTGCCTCATCCCTGCTCAGAGCCTGGGAAGGCATAAACACTTCCAGGATTACAGAAAATGAGGACACTAACTTTGGGACCCATCCAAAGCCCTTTAGTGGGTGTGAAGACTAATTGACTACAGCGAGAGCTGCATCAGTTCCTTAATTGCTGAGGGGAAATGAAACAATAACATTTCCCCTTTCCCTACATCCTTTTCCAAGAGCCCTGTGGTAAGGGCTGCGAGCTGCCTGCCTCAGACAGCAGCACTGGAGAGCTCCAGGCCATTACTCGGGAATGTTTTCCAAGGAAGGTGCTCAGACAGCGCCACAGAGGATGGGAGATGATGATAACGCACTTTTCCTGTTTTCCCTACTGTCACAAACAAAGCTGCTTGATTCAGATAATGGGTTTGGTGAGATAGGGGGGAAAGCAGCAATTTTAGGCTTTAATGACTGAAGTTGAAGGTGATATTCAGTTATAACCCCCCTGTTACACATCAGGTCTCCTCCCTCTGGGCCTCAAGGACTTTGGATGTGCCCAGGCTCCAAACTTATTGGATATTGCTCCACAAAACAGCACTGGAAATTGGAGACAGCAATTGTTTCTCCTCTCTGATGTGATGAAGGGCTGGGATTCCCTCACTCTGTCCTGTTAGAAGGGGAAACGTGGTGACTGGGAGCACTGGGAGCTTTGCCTCAGGCTTTGCTGGGCTCTGGCTGGCATCAGTGTGGGGTGGAGGTGGGCACTGCCTTCTCCCTTGGCCCTTCCTCGTCTGCAGGAAATCAGCACGGGGCAATGGAGCTCCGTGGGAATTGGCATGGATCTGTGATGGGCTGTCCATCACAGCCCTTTCCAGTCCTGCCTTCTGCTGGCTTGGACAGGAAAGGGGTCAGTGGGCCAAGGGAAGGCTGATGGATGCGAAATGTGGCTCAGCATCCATGGAGCCAAGGTGGGTGTCAGGTTGTAGGGGTCAGGTGGGTGAGGGAAAGGGGAGAAGGTTGTAGGGTGATTAGGCAGCAGGAGCATTCAGTGAGAAAGGAGAAAAATAAAAAGTTCAGATAAAAATATAAAAGCAAAAGAGGGGAAAGCATGTGTGTGCTGTAGACTGCCGTGGTTCTGCTCCAGGCAATGTCACCCAGGACATCTTTTGTTTCATTCACACAAAAATCCTTGCCATCAGTGCTTTCCCCTGTCCCCTCCGTGAACCCATCACTTCCTAAACAAACAGACATGACAAGACCTTTGAAAGCTGTGTCAGAACCTTTGAGTACCAGCTGAGCATAATGCAATGTGGGGAAAGCCAGTGGTTCCCTACAGGTGGAAAACAGCTCCGGCCGTATTTCCAAAGCTCTGTTTGCTTTACATGACTCACTGCCCATGTGCCTTGCTGTAGATGCTTGGAGCAGCTTTTTGTAATGTAATCAGAGCTGTGGGCACTCCATTTGTCCATCGCAGAGGCCCTGAAGGATTAGCACAGCACTAAAAATGACACCTCATCCTGCCTGTGGGCAGAGTCAGGGGGTGGAATGCAGAGGTTCAGCCTGGGGAAGCTGAGCATTTACTCATCCCAGGGCTGGAGCAATGTTGTTTGTACCAGGAGCCAGCCTGAACTCATCATGTCATCATCCCATATCCAGATCCTTGGCAATCAGGGTGTCCTGACCCTGACAAGAGCTGCCCATCAGACCCGTGGCAAAATCTGTGGGCAGCTCAAGCATCTCATCTGCTCTGGTGAGACCATGAGGGACTGTGAGCAGTAGGACAAGGAGGGTGATGCTCCCCTCTTCTCTGCTCTCATAAAATCCCACTGGAGCTCTGTGTCCAGCCCTGGAGCCTTCAGCACCAGGAGGATGTGGAGCTGCTGGAGAGAGCCCAGAGGAGCCAGGGAGCTGCTCCAAAATCTGGGAAAACTCTGGAGCCAGGCTGGGACACCTGGGGGTGCTCACCTGGAGAGGAGAAGCTCCAGGGAGAGCTCAGAGCCCCTCAAGGGACTCCAGGAGAGCTGGGGAGGGACTGGGGACAAGAATGGAGGGACAGAACACAGGGAATGGCTCCCACTGCCAGAGGGCAGGGATGGATGGGATATTGGGAATAGGAATTGTTCCCTGAGAGGGTGGGGAGGTGCCCAGAGCAGCTGTGGCTGCCCCTGGATCCCTGGCAGTGCCCAAGGCCAGCTTGGACAGGGCTTGGAGTACCCTGGAACAGTGGAAGGTGTCCCTGCCATGGCAGGGGGTGGAATGGGATGATTTTAAGGTCCTTTCCAACCCAAACCATTGTGGGATTGATTCTACAGTGTCCAAAGGTGTGTTCCTCCTTCATCCTCTGCCATCTCCTTGCTCTGCAGAGCAGCCTCCCTGCAGCGATTCTCGTGGGCGATGCTCTCAGACTTTCTGCATCAATTAAATCTCTGTTTTCCCTTCTTCTGCCAGTTTGGGGATTTGTTGCTCGATTGTCATGGCGACTGCATCCGTGGGACCCTCGCTGAGGGTGAGGCCCCTGCATTAGGATTCAGGGCAGCACTTCAGCCAGCATCACTGGGGACCCTCTTGTGCTCAGCACTCTCTGAGAGCAGGGAGCTCATTCCACTGCAGAAATCCCAGCTGAACAGCGTCTCTTCACAGCAAACGAGGCTGCCTCTAATTTTTGTTAATTATGTGGAAGCAATTTGATTTCCTCGTGAGCCTGTTGTCAGCACAGCCCTCACAGTCTATTCCTGGCCAGCAGGATGAGGATGCTTAAGAACCCCAAAGGACTCTGCAGCTGTTTTGCGGAACAACATGGAATAAAAAAGGAGCCATTTCCAAAATAAATAAAAAATACAAAAAAAGACAAAACCCAAGATATTTCTTGCAGAACACTGTGGGAAAGAGGAGCCATTTGCAAAAAAACATGAGGTCTGGCTGGCAGAAAAGCAGGGAAAAGAAGGGATGGGGGAAAGAACAACGAAACGATCAAAAGAGGTGCAGAAAATGAGATTTTTGTAAGGAAAGAGGTTTCTCAGGCAGCACGCCGGGAATGGCAGTGAAGACGCAAACGCAGAGAAGGGCCCGGGGAGGCGGAGGTGAAGAACAAGAGCGGTGCGCGCAGAGCCGGTTGTCGAGGAGCCTCGTTAGCGCAGTAGGTAGCGCGTCAGTCTCATAATCTGAAGGTCGTGAGTTCGATCCTCACACGGGGCAGAGATGGTTTCCTCCTTCTTTTTTGCTCCCCTCCCCCGCAGCCAGACTTTCCAAAGGGAACGGAGTGTCTAGTTTTTTTCACAGGACTGGAGCAGGAAGCGTGACGGGAGGGGGCGAACGCGGCCCCAGCCCCGCACCGGCCCGCAGCGCGCCGGTTACCGGGCACCGGCCCCGCCATGCGCACGGTCCCTCCGCCCGCTAGGCGGCGCGCACACTGGTTGTGTCGGTTGTGCACCAGGCGTCGGCTACCTGCGTGAGGCGTGGCGCGGCTAGATGCGGAGGCGCTGATTGGAGGAACCGCGAGGTAGGCGCGGCCTAGCGGCGGGGTGGGCAGTGCTGATTGGCGGAGCGCTGCGGTGGGCGGGGCCAGCGGCGTGCACGGGCAGCGGCCGGCACGGCGGCGCGCCCCGGAGCCGCGTCAGAGCGGCGGCGGCCATGGCTGTGTGTGCCCGGTTGTGCGGCGTGGGGCCCGCCCGCGGCTGCCGTCGGCGCGGCGCCGCCAGGGAACAACGCCGCGGCAACGCCGACAGCGAGCCCGACACCGATACGGACCCCGAGGAAGCGGGAGGTGGGGCCGTCACGGAGGACGATGAAGCCGCAGAACGCATTGAGGGCGGGCGGCCGCTGCCGCCTTCTGTCGAGGCCGGCCCGGCCGGGCGGGCCCCGCTGTCCTTGTTGGAGCTGCCCCCGGAGCTCCTGGTGCAGATCTTCGGCTCCCTGCCCGGTACCGACCTGCCCAGCCTGGCCCGGGTCTGCACCACCTTCCGCCGCATCCTCCGCACCGACACGATCTGGCGGCGGCGCTGCCGCGAAGGTACCGCCCGCCCGAGGGCCGCCCGGGCCGGGGCTGAGCGGGGAGAGCGGCAGCGGCCGTGAGGGTGCGGGAGGGGATGGGCTGGGGACCCTGAGGAGCTGGAGGTGCAGGGCAGAAATCAGATTTGGGGTGCGAGCTGTGGGGCCGAGGCTCGCAGGGCTCCATGTGTGCGGGGAGGAGACCTGGGCACATCTCGGGTCCCCTGGGACCCCGGCCCTTGGTGGTGGCACTTGACTTGGGGCAAAGGGCATCGAGCTGGGGGTGTCTCCCGGAGGAATGGGATGGGAGGTGATGCCTCCATGTAGAATGTCCTTGGGGAATCCCGAGGACTGGGAATGCTCAGCACCTGCACCGCGGAGGAAAGGGGGGACCCTGGGATTCCTGGAACCACGGGGAAAACACCGGGAGCTGCGTCCGGAGAGGCCGGGGCTGGGTAGGGGCATCCCTTGGGGGAGTGCAGAGCCTTTGTGGGAGTGCAGAGCCTTTGGGGCAGTACAGAGCCTTTGGGGAGTACACAGCGTGGAGAGGTTCCAGGTTCAGGTGTGCGTTTTCCAGGAATGCTCCGTGCCAGGATGCTGTGCTGCAGTAATGTGAAGGCCTGGCAGGTGTTTTTCCCTCTGTGATGCTGCGATTCTCCCTCTTTACTCCTCATCCTCCCACCGCTGTGCTCTGTGTCCTCTGTTTGTTATTTCAGTCGTGTCCCACCTCCCGAGGTCTGCCTTGCTGTGCTCATCCTCTCTCCAAGCGCTGCCATCCTGCCAGGGGCTCCTGCTGCCAGCACATGAAGTCATGTGTATTTTCCTGTCTGCTTTCTGTTTTTAATAGCAGAGAGGGCACGGGGATGAGGGATTTGGGAATGTCAGTGGCTGCCTGCAGTGGGATCTGCTGGAATGCCTGAAACCTTGCAGGAATGAATTTGTGCCTTATCAGCACTATCCAAGAACCTTTGGACAGCACAAAGGCTGCACCTGGAAAATGTAAACCAAAGCATTATTCCATAGTTCAGCATTGTCCCAATAATTTAACATTGGTTTTAGGAGACAGACTAATGAAATGGTGTTAATTCTTTGCTTATACTTCTCTAATGATGTGGAGATTTGTGTGTTTGATGAATGGTTTGCAAAACTTCACTGATTCATTATTTTAATAGGTTGTGATCCTGGCAAATTATATAGAAATTTATGTCACTTGTAACTCTAGGCTAGGTTGGCTTGTAAAAAAGACCCCCTGAATTAGGTCTGATGGGGATTTACATTTATTTGTCAAATTCAAGTCTGCTCTGGGGATTTTCTTTCCAATGGATAAAGCTCAGCTGAAATTTAAGGAAATTAAGGAAACAGTGGAATTTTTATGGCTAAAACTAACCTGGACAGGAGGGAAGGTATCAAAACAACACTTTTGTCTATGGCCCCTTTACCTAACTGCCAGGTGAGAGGTGTATAAACCAAATTTTGATTCTGTTTGCATGTAGTGTCTCCAGTTTCCCAACATATCCATTCCAAGCAGTGTCAGAGAATGCTTTGGTGGCTGAGGAGGATCCTGTGCCCAAGGCAGGTGCCCAGGCTGTGCTGAGCAGATAAGGGGCAGTTCCTGGCCATGGTGAAGCTGATTCTGAACCTTTTAACCAGCTCTGGTCTTCCAGGCAGTTCCTCAGCTGGGCTTCTCAGGCTGTTTGTGGTGCTTTGCGTTCCCTGCTGAGGTAGGACTGTAACTTTGAGTGGTTGTACACACAAGGATAAAATTGGGCATTATTTTATAGGTAAACATCAGGTGTTGGTAAATAAATACACATTTAAAACTTAAAATATTCTGTGCTGTGTTTCTGCACAGCCATACACTGTGTGATAGTCAAGCATAAAATGTAAACTTAAAATGTGATTGTTTTTTGTAATATTTTCCAAAACCAGTTCCCATCTGAGCTCAGTGTTTAGGTGTGTGTGTTTGTGTCTGCCTGAGCCTTGTTGTGAGGCTGCATGTCCTAAAAACAGCACCAGAGCACGTGTGCCCTGCTGGTTTGTTCACTCTGGTGATCATGGAATCACAGAATGTCCTGAGCTGGAAGGGATCCACGGGGATCATCCGAGCCCAGCACCGTGTTCAGGAGTGACTGGGGACCTTCATCTTGCTGTCAGCTGCACGTGCAAAAGCACTGCTGCTTTTAGGAGTGCACAGCAGTGCAGAGGCAGGGAGGAACCCTGGCACAGTGAGATCAGAGAGGAGCTGCTCTGGGGGAAGCTGTTGTTGCAGTGCTTTGTTTTGGCTGTTTTTTCCCCTCTCCCTTGGACAGGAGCAGCCTGGCTGTGCCCCAAGCTGGATGGAGCCCTCAGTCCTTGCAGTGTTGATGTCTTGCTCTACCCTGGGCCAGCCCAGCTGTAGATCAGTCTGAAAACATGCTGTGATTATTCCAAGTGTCCAGAGCATTGTCTGCCTGAAAGTGGAGTGGCTTTTGTGCTGCTGGAGCCCTGGGATGCAGCAGGGGGAATTGTGTGACACTGGCAGAGCTGTTGTCCTTTTATCATTGCAGCTGTTTGGGGTAAACAATGTCTCTGGATTGCTTCCTTGGCAAGGGGAGGGTTGCAGTCACTTCCATGTTTTCTATAAATAGGAGATTGCTGATCCCTGCAGCAGGAGCAGAATTAAAGTCATGTCACCCTGGCTGGTGGCCTGGCCTACCTTGATTAACACCTCATAGTCCATTTTTAATCTTTCATTTCTTTCATCTTTAACCAGAACAGGGCAAGTGCAGCAGAGCACCTGGGAACAGAGCAGCAATGCAGAATAACCAGTTCTAGAGCTTGGAAGAAAAGGCTTTTGTTTGTGAAAACAACCTCCAGCAGCTTCTGGGCCTGCTGGAAAATGTCAGCCAAGGTGCTGAAGTTTGTGACCTTCAGGTTGTGTGGAAATAAGGGTGGGAAATGTGGTTTGTACACTCAGTGAGGAGAATTTTGGGCGGGGTTCAGCTCTTAAAGACTCCAAGGCATCCATGCAGGAGTTTGGTGCACAATTCTGCCCCAACAGGAACCATTTCTTGCAGAGCTGTCCCCTGGTGAAGGTGGCTTTCATAGGCCACAAGGCTCCAGCCTCCCCTGGTGTGAGGTGAAAACATTGTGTGCTGTTAGTCTGGCTTTTCTTCATCTCTGATGACTTTCCTGGCTTTTAAAGCCCAGCTTGGCAGTGCTTGGCTGTTCCTCACTGCTCAGCACTCTCAGCCACCCCTCAGAGAGTCTCAGACCTGTCTGCAGCTGAAGCTGCCCCTCCTCTGCTTCAGGGTTTCCACAAATGGGTGCATTTATTGCAGATCAAATCTCCTGTTCCTTGATGGTACCCTGTTGAAAGCGAAGGGAGACGACCCATCCTTGTTGATCAGCATCGAACTCCAATTTATTGATCTCACTTACACACTTTTATAGTGGTGTTAATTAAGCGCATGCATATTGCAAAATCCGAGCTCATCATAGGTCACAGATTACACATTAACCCCTCCTTTTGTTTTCAATACCTGTGGTTTGTTATTGAATCCCAGATTTGTGTTCTCACCCTGATATGAAAGGTTCTCAAAACCTCCATGTCTGTTCCCAAACCAGCCAAGGACAGAATGTTTACCTGTTATGAGAAGACTGCCTGAGAACTTAGCTGTTTACAGAAACAGGCTGTGAGAATTTGCTCCTCACAGCTGCCTTTTACTTTTCCATCAGCAGTATATGATTATGGCATGTCTGAACAAAACTCTATAAGCCATTTCTGAGCAAAATTCTCCAACAGTACCCCCAGGCCTTCCTATGGAAGAAGTGTCTGGGAGAGGACTGGATGTGTTTTAGTCTGATTGTTCAACCTTTGGAAACAAGAAACCAATTCCACCTTTGTCCAGCTGGTACTTCAGAGCTGCTAACCTGAGAATAATCCCCCATTTTCGTGATATCTGGAATATTCCAGTGAGTTTTTATCCTCTCTGTTCTATGTCCGGCCTTGTGAGCATGCATTTATCCAGGGATAATTGGAAGATTTGATTAGCCAGGACACAGTGGAAGTTCAGTAATGGTGAAGGGAATCAAGCTCTGCCAGACATCCTCATTTCCTCAGAATTGTGGATGTGCACACACAGCTTCCAGCAGCTCCCTGGGGCTGCCATGCTGGGAAAGGCAGCAGAAAAGCAGGAATTTGGGCTTTGATGTGAGCACAGAGTTATTCCCAACCTTTTAAACTCCAGACTGGTCCCTGCAGGGTGAAGGGGACGCAGCTTCTGTTGGGGAGGAGCAGGGAATGTGAGGCCTGGGAGTGCTGGAGCAGGGCAGGGGATAAATGATAAATGACAAATGCCCCTTGCAGAAGTGTTGGTGCAGCTCATAGCAAATGGAGATTGCTTTTCCAATCCCTAAAATCCCGTGCATGTGACCATGGAAACAGCAGCGTGTCCCTGTGTTTGGGAAATCAGCACTCCTTAAACCAGCCACCTTTCCAGCTGGTCACTGGGAACTGAAAACCAATTTCCATCCTTGCTTTGCCAGCAGGATTAAACAGCCATTTTCCAGGGGTGTGAATTTGGTGTCTATTAACTCCTTAAAATAAAAATACTTTACTCAGTGAGCTCTTGCACTGAGATACGTTTCCTTAAAATAGATTTAATTGCACTGAAGTGGAATTTTCCAGGAAGCTCTAGCCCTTCAGAGCTTTCTTGGAAAGGGATTTCTGTTCTCTGTAAAGAAAACCTTACCAGATTTATTTTTCTCTCATTATCTTGGAGCCCTACTTGCTGTTTATTTATGTCCCTATTGCCTTCTGGGTTAAAAGGAGATGGCCTTTCTTGCTTATGATATTTGGAGGGGTTTTTTTAGGCACTGTGAGCCAAAAGATTGATTTTTTTCCCCATAAAATGGCCATGCTGGTGTGAGCAGCTGGGTCAGAAGAGCTGCAGTAATGCACTTATGGAGCTCAGCCATCACTGTGGCATTTTCACTCTCTGTAGCTGTTTGCTGACCAAAAGAGGATAAGAATTAGTTATAAAATGAGTCTTAAAGCACATTAGGATGGGATTTTTTTTTTTATATAATACTCTTTTGGATATCTAGTGACAATTAATGTGCAGCAATATAGAAATCCTCCATCTTTGTATTATTTAAAGGAGTTTATTTGAATCTTTCCAGGTGAGATTGGCATTACACCCACTTCAATAACAGTTTGGCTTTCATAAAATTTCACTGCAGGTTGTCAGGGGCCCTTGCATGGAGCTGTGACATCAAATCCCTTCCCAGGCTGTTATTTGGAGGAAACTGCTGCTGGTGGCTCTCCCATGGCACTCACCTGAGGGATTTATGGATTAGGGAGAAGGTTTTGGGTAACTGTGGGAAGAGGGAATGTCACTCTTGGTGCTGCTGGGGATTCCATTTGGGGAGGGTCCTCCAGGTGTCTCCTCCCTTTGCCTTGCAGTCCAAACCCCTTCCCTGCCTGCAGTGCCCAGGGCTCCTCTCACCTGTCCTGCTGATGCCATGGGAAGGCTGAGCTAGAACAGAGGCTGGACAGAGCTACAGAATAAAGCAGGGATTTATTGAAAGGATCTCCTCAATGGATCCACCTTGGGCAGCACAAGAGCCCAGCCAGGGCTGCACCCAGGATGAGCCAAAATGGTCCCAAAATGAACCCAAGATGAACCAAAATGGTTCCAAAATGAGCCCAAGATGAACCAGAATGGTCCCAAAGTGAACCCAAGATGAACCAGAATGGTCCCAAAATGAACCCAAGATGAACCAAAATGGCCCCAAAATGAACCCAGGATGAACCAAAATGGTCCCAAAATGAACCCGAGATGAACCAAAATGGTCATCCCAAAATGAACCCAAGATGAACCAAAATGGCCCCAAAATGCTCGAGCGCTCCCGGGGTCTCTCCCTGGGATCAGTTCTGCTCCATTTGCACCTTGCAGTTCATTGTCCCATTCCAGCTTTAGCCCCTGCAGTCCCACCCTGCTTGTTTTTCTCTCTCCAGCCCACGGTGTTTGTGCTCTTGGGCTGAGATTGGGATCATTTGTCCTTGGTGCCCAGCTGGAGCAGGAATTGTTTTGTGTCCCTGCTCTGTGCACAGAGCTCAGCATCCCCTGATGTGAACCCAGACCCACACACTAGAGCAGCACAGAATGTGAAAAACAGAAAAGCCAAAGCCTGAGGCATCCCTGGGGCCAGGTAAGTTTTGTTCAGGTGCACAAGAGTTCCCTGTTCCCAAGCCCTGCTGTTCTGCCCTTTTCCAAGGACTTTCCAATCAGCTGGGAACATTGCACACTGTTCCTGCACCCCCTGGATGTGTTTACAGCCCTGGATGTGTTTACCCCTCACTCCCTCACGTGCAGAGGGGAGCTGGGAGCCAGGAGGGCTCTGCCAGGGTGGCTCTGCATTGCCAGGCTCTCTCTCCCTGGCTCTGCAGCACTCAGCTGGCAGAGCCCCAGCCCTGAATGCTTTGTTTGTGCTGGGCTCTCCTCCCTGCCAGCTCAGCTCTGCTCACTGAGCATCCCCAGCCCACCTTGGGAGCCCTCAGAGCTCCCTCCAGCAGGGACTCTGCCACTGCCCTTGGCATTTTTTGGCGAAGGGCAGCATGTTTATTGTGCCCCTCTCACCCTTGCTGCTTAGCCAGGGTGTGCAGGATGGGTATTCCCTGGAGATAGGCTGTCACTAAACCTCTCTCATCCTTTGCTTGCATTTACAGACAGGAGGAGGCTGAATTAATTCAGGGAAACTCCTGCTTTTCTCATGTTTGGAAGCTGAGTTCTCTCCTGCAGCAGGTTTCCAGCATTAGGTGGTGCTTCACAGCCACAGTTGTTGACTCAAGGATGCTCAGCTGAGGATAAATTTTGTGTTTCATGGCTTGATGAGGGTCTGCAGAGATACAGTTTAGTGTCAGATATCTGGCAGGTGTTTGTGCTGCTGAGGAAAGCTGCTGTTTGATCTGTGCTGTTGATGTCTTTGATGTCTCTGTGCTCAGATCTGTCAGGGTCACTGCAGCAGGGTGGCATTGTCACTGCTGATTTTTTGGGATCTCCCTCCTCTCAGTTCCTCCCTCTGCTCTTCTGAGAATTCCTGGCATAGAGACATTAGTACTTGCTTTCATTTTATTTTTTTGAGGTTTCTTAGAAGTTTGACGTTGACTTCCTGAAAATGAAAGGAGAGAATCTCATTTTCTGCTTCAAAGCTGCTCCCAGATCTCCAGCTCCCTTTGTTTTCAGGGGGTTCTGGAAGCAATCAAAGGCATCTGACTGCACAGCAGCCCTGTCTCAATCTGATCTGCTTTCAGTGTAACCATATTTGTACATGCTGGGGCCTGTTTTATGTCTGTGTTTCATTCTTTTTTGAGCCTGTGACCTTTCCTTCAGGATCCTAATAAGCAGTTTTCCCTGTCGGGTACCTCAGTGAGGGAGGATAATTGCTGCACGCAGCGGTGATTTGCTGGGAGCAGGCACACAATCCCAGCTGCAATGGGGATGTCTCCCACATTTCACACTCCTCCTGGCTGAGATGTGAGCAGCTGGCACTTTGCTGGCTGTGTTTGTGCCTTATGGTGTGTTTGTGGCAGGCATTGCTTCTGAAATGTCTTTGAATCTGCAACGGAATCACATCCGGTTTTTAAAGCAAAAATCAGATTCTTGGTGTGCTGTGGCAGCTTCAAGAAAGCACAAATCAGGTCTCAGTAGTTGATGTCAAGGCTCCAGACCTTTCTGTGCCAGAGTTGACCCTTTTTTGCTGTGTTGTTGCAGAATATGGGGTGTGTGAGAACCTGAGGAAGCTGGAGATCACAGGAGTGTCCTGCCGAGATGTTTACGCCAAACGTAAGTGGGAAATCCAATCCAAACCTTGCTCAATTCCAATTCTGAGAGCACAGAAATGATGAATATATTAAACTTTGATGGCAGAAGTTGCTCAGACTGCACTTGCAGGGGTTTCATTGGGAAGTTGATGTGTTTGGAGTTTTATTTAATACCAGGAGTTGGGATTTCTGTGCCTCCCAGTTCTTTGGTGGGAAAAGAGGATGGAATTTCATTTTTAAATGAAATTTATCGAGGGGTTTTCATCCTGTTTTGCTATTTTCAGATCTTGCTAAGGAATTTACAGGTGTTTTTTCTGAACCTTGAGCTCAGTGAAAGGAAATGGCTGTAGGAGAGTGGGAAAGGGATGAGCATTCCCTGAAGGAGGAGAGCCTGGCAGGAGCTGTCTCTGTGTTTGGGAATGTCCGTGGCTGTGGGACCCTTTAGAACCCTGAAGTAGCAATGACCCATTGATCTTAAAGCTGGGAAGAAGAGGTAGAAGGGCTTTAATCCCATCTTTAACAGAATTACTGAGCATCCACAGGAAAATTATTTCATCACCTGATATCTCTCTTTCCCTATTACACTACACTAGGGATGGAACTGCCTCATTTTCCTGGCTGGGAGGGCTGAGTGATGCTGAGCCAGCACACAGATGTCCCCAAAGGAGTCCCATTAACCCTCGAGGCCTCCCTTAATTCCCATTTAATCCCATATCTTGGTATGGTGACAGCCACACAGCACACACCAGGTCAGATCTCAGCTCTTCATTGCCATTTTTAAGTGGCACAACACCTCTTCATGACCTGCAGCCCTTTTTACTACATATCCTCCATGGTTCAGAGATCCTAAAGTGGTATTTAGTGCTTTTTATGCACAAGTTGTGGGTAAAAATGGCCTCACTGGCTCAGGACAGTGGTGACTCTCCAGCCCAGTATCTCCCAGCCATGGCTGTGGGCAGGGAGGCTGAGGAGAGGATGAGCCTCTGGGATGTTTTCCCAAACATTCCCACTGTTTCCAGCTTTCCAGAGTGTGATCAGGTTATTTATTCAATAAGCTGCAGTAAATCTGTCTCACACATGTTTCCATGAGTAGTTTTCAGATCCATGGCATCCATTAGCAAGGGGTCACACTTGATGTGTGAGAGCACCCCTGTGATGGCCTTTCCTGCCCTTAGGATCTGTGTTTGTACCCACCCAGCAGGGATGGAAACCCCAAAGTGGGAATGCCTGGCAGCCCTTCCTGCCTTTCAGGGTGCCCCATCTCAGCTCAGCTCAGATTCTGCACTTTGCCCTGTGCCAGGAGCAGTTTGCTGCTGGTGTCACCCCATTTCTCTACTGTCCCATAAACCTCTTTAATTGCAGAGGCGTTAATTTGGGATTATTGCATTTTCCATTCCGTGAGTGTGTTTCTGTGAGAAATGCTGGGGGAGAATGGGAACTGAGCTCAGGTGCCTGAGAGCAGAACTGATGCAAGGCCCATGGAGTGACTTCTTGAGGCAGCAGTGCAGAGTTTGAGGAAGGGCTTTGATCCCACTTGGAGTTCCCTGGATGCCATTTGAGGAAGGGCTTTGATCCCACTTGGAGTTCCCTGGATGCCATTTGAGGAAGGGCTTTGATCCCACTTGGAGTTCCCTGGATGCCATTTGTAAATAATGTCTGTGGGAACCTGGAGCAGCTCTGTGTGAGAAACCCTGCTCAGTGAGGCTGAGGCTGACAGAAACATCTGGAATCACAGTCAGGAGGGAGCTGGGCTTCCCTGTATGCTTGGTGCAGATCCATGGAGGTGTTTGCTGGTGCCAGTGGAGCAGAGTTTGCTGGCACTCACGCTGCTCTGTCTGTTCAGGTATAAACCCCCGGGTGAAGTCGGGGCGGTTCATGCGAATCCTGCCCGACTACGAGCACATGGAGTACAGAGATGTTTACACCTGCCGTACGTACCCGCTGCTGCTGCTGCCCCCAGCACGCCAGGCTGCTGCATGGACTGTGCCCTGCCCCGGGACAAAGCACTGGGCTGGCCCTGGGACAGCAGGGACGTGCCACCAGGGGTGGCTGGAGTGTGTCACAGGAGCACCGAGACCCTGGGGGTGACAGTGACAGCAGGGCTGGGGTATCTTGGGGGGCTTCTTGGAGCATCTCTCACTCTGCTCATTGGGAATTGCTCCTTTCTTTGAGGAAAAAATTCAGATAGCCAGGTGAGGCCTCTCTCTGGGCTGGCAAAGAGCTTTGTGGTGGTTCACTGTCACCCTGGTTTTTTAAGATTTTCTAAGCTTTCTGATGTTGACATTCTTGTAGTGAACTTTCTCACACACTTTCTGTAAATAACTCATTCCTTTATGGAGGAGGAGAGAGTTGATAGACTGTTGGTTTGACCAGTGTCATTGGAGAGGTGTCACTGTCATGTTGTAGGAAGGATACTAGGACACTAGATGGTTCATCACAGGTTTAGTTTATTGAAGAAAGCATTAAACACTTATACAGCAAATAATAAGCTTATGAATATTTTGTAAGTTAAGCAATCTATTAGTTAAACTATACTATGAACTCTTCTTCATTCTTTAGGAGTTACATCTTTCTTTTCTCATGTCTCTTTCACTATTTGTTATCTTACTACAGCTAGGCTCAAAGACACGCTATCTCACAGGTGCAAGACTTAGAATTAGCCACAGCTTTGTATTTTTCCCTTCTCTAGTCTCCTAAATTTCCCAACACTGTCACCCTCCAATCGCTGTCACTTTTGTAAAACTATAAATATTGGAGTCAGAAAATAAACTTCCCTTTTTTCCTTCACCTTGAGAACGGTAGTGAGCTTAGATTCTTTCATGTCCTATAGCGACAGTTCACAGTGAAATCCTCAGCCCTTTCCAGGGGAAAATGCTGAGTGTTCCCATAGTAATTCCCTCCCTGCACACTCAATCCTTTCAAGCACCATCTCTGTCTCTAGGAAACGTTCTGCTAATGTTTTAAACATTGTGATTTGCCTTCCTCACTTTGGATAACCTTTTTTCCCCTCCTCATGTTGTGTTCAGGGAGGAATAGTTAAACCCTTGGAGTTTAATGTTCAGCAGGAATTGAGGGGGAAGGACTGATTAGTTTACATCAATTAAGGAAGCCAGGACTATTTGGTGTTTATTTAGAGGGGGTGTTGAGCTGTCTCTGATGCTCCTTTGGGTCTGCAGAGTCTGGCAGACTCCAGTTTCTAACCCACTGCTGCTTGGGAATGGAGTTTTTCACACACATTAATCAGTGGATGCTGCAGAATTCCCTGTGCTGAGGGAAGCAACTGAGCAGGGGCCATGCAGGGGAGGTGGTACCTTTAATGTGAGTCAGGATGGACCAGCAGCAGGGCTACAGCAGGAACTGGGACAAAGTTTGGGGTTTGGCAACCTGGGATGCCTGTGCTGGAGCTGGATGGGATGGAGAAGCAAATCCAGGCTGCAGGATGGATTCCTTTGGAGACTGGATGTTTGCTCCAAACTCAAGTGGCATTTAGTGCTGTCCCCTCAGCTGTTATTTCTTTAGCTGCAGCCCCAAATTTCTGATGTGCCCCTTTTCTCTTGGGGAAAAGCTTGAATGGTTGGGATTGGTGATTTTAGAGGTCTTTCCTGTGGTTCTGAGCCCATCTGGTTTAGGATGCAATGGCCCATTTCCCCTTTTTCCCCTCCTGTGCTGTCAGGATTTTCCATGCAACTCTTCCCTAGTTCCTGTTCATGCAGGGTCAGCCAGGTGAGCTCAGATCACTTTCCCCAGGGGTTTAAGCTCCCCTGGATTACTCTGAGCGCTTCCACAAGCAGGTCAGGTGTCACCAACCAGGGCACTGCTTTCATTGCTCCAGCTCATTTTGCTTCTGGAGACCTTCCTGCATCCCAGGAATCCGGGGGAATTGCAGTGGCTTGGATCTTTCCTGGTCAGGACATGCCCCAGGCACCCTTTTCTCAAGGGGAGTTTGGCATTCCCTGCTTTGCCAAGGCCATTCCCAGCTGGATTCAAGCCCCTTTCCCATCTGGAGGGTGTGCAGAGCTGCTTGTGGAACGTGGGGAATATCCAGCCTGGGTTTAGGCTGTCCTGGAGCAGCCAGTGAATGTGGTTTTGCTCCTTTTGGCAGGATGTGGACTCAGAAATTTGGATAGGCAAGAGGCTTCTCCAGGACTGAGCACAGGCAGTGGAAAAGCTTGGAGAAAAACCCAAGTGCTGTTTTCTTTCGAGGAGCAGGAAGGGAAATAGATGCCAGATCCATCCTGTGTCCTACCAGGAGCAGCCAGAGCTGGAATTCATCAGATTTTCCCTGCAATTAATATTAGCTGCTGTTTTGCTGGAGCTCAGAGACAGCCCAGGCCTGAAAACTGAGCTGTGTTTTGAGACTTGTTTGGGCCTTTGGCCAAGCACCAGCATTTCCCCAGTAAGTTCTGGAAGTGAATGGCATTTATTTTTGGCCTCCTGTGTTCAGACCTCAGCTCTGTTTCCTGAAATTGCTGCTAACAGGAGCTGGGCTAGGAGAGACATCCCCATCCCCCTGGGACAGCTTCGTTTTCTGTCCTAAAAAATAATAATACATTAAAAATGGCTGGGTTTTATCAGCTCTGTGGCAGGCAGGGTAGAAGGCAGAGTGTGGTGGGTGGAGCAGCTCATGCCATTAATTATCATGTAATTGCTGGGCTGGGAATGGGGTTTGCCTGCTTGCCTTAGAGTTGTTTGTGCTGCCCTTGGTTCTCTGGGTGAAACCAGGCCAGTCTGAAATTGTTTACTGCCCAGGAAAAGGCTCCTCCAGGCCAGCTGGCAGCAGCTCTGGACATCCCTCCCTGCCATCCTGAACTCCTGTGCAAGTTCTTGCTTTTGGTGGAATAAAACCACTCCTGTAGTTGTTGCTGTCTGAAGTAATTAATGCACCAAAGCTGCTGGAGCAGCTGCACTGAAACACAATTCTTGTTTTAAATTAATGCAAACCCAACCCTGTTATTCAAGCCAGTCCTGGAGGTTACAGTGGGTTACTGTGGCCCTCTGAGTTGGCCATGGACATTGAAAAATCAGTGAAATTTCTTCCTACCATGGAAGAAGGAATTTCTTCATGGAAGCAATGTGCATGCTGCTGTTCCTGCCCAGAATGCCAGAGTGTGTAATCCCTTCTTGTGAGGATTGCTGGTCGTGTGAGGAAACCAGATGGACAAAAGGGAATTAGATGGACAGAGGAATGGCTGTGTGAGGACTGGAGGTGGGTCCCATCCCTAAGCTTTCCTCACCACAGAAGGTTTAAGATCATTCTGTAAAAGCCCTTATTTCCTGCTTGCTGGAAATATTCCTCTGTTTAGGTGAGATTGAAAGGACAACAGATGAGAAACAGGGAAGCCTCAACTGCTAGAGTAGATTTTGAGTGGGTTTTGGAAGCAGCTTTTGGGCACTGCTGAGGTGTAGCTGCTTCTGTAGAACTTTTAAGGCCGTGCCTGATGTGGCCACACCACCAGATTCCCAAGCTGGAGTGATCCAAGTGCTTTGCCCGTGCTCCCTGTGGCTGTTTCTGGGGATGCTTAACTCTGGAGCCAAGTTTGTCTACACAAGGCAGTGAAATGCTTTCAAAATCCTCCAATTCCCCTGTTCCTTCCTGCCTTCCTGCCCTTCCCTGTTTTCTGTTGCTTTGCAGTGTGAAGCATTGAGTGCATTTTTGGTAACTGGAGGTGGCAGATGCTTTTATTTGTTTTCAGCTCTGGTTATTACATTGTGTGACTTGCATTAATGGGCCTGTGTTGCAAAACTTTTTTTGGCAATTCCTGAGGTAGGTGAATTCCACAGGGCCGGGAATAAAGAACACAAATGTGTGTGAGCTTGGGGGAGGGCTCAGCTTGCCCACAGTCACTTTTCCTGAGTGAATGCAGCCTGGCAGCAGGGATTTCAATACCAAAATCCCAGATTCTGGGCTGGAAGTGCTGATGAGTGTCTCCCTTTCCCCAGTGCTGCACCGCTACCGGCACATCCTGGGCCTGTGGCAGCCGGACATCGGGCCCTACGGGGGACTGCTCAACGTGGTGGTGAGTCAGGGGCTCATGCTGGGCCTTCTGGGGCTGGGAGCTGCTTTTTCACACTTTCCACACCTGCCAGCCATTCCCAGACCACTAAATAGTCTGAACAGTCAGCCTTGAGTGGGTGATTTGGACACAGAGGATGCTCTGTCGTTCTTTCCTGGTTTCTCTTAGATGAGACCTCAGGAGGAATTGCTTCACAGGGAAGGTTGTTAAATACAGGAGGGGGCTGCTCAGGGAGGAATCCCCATCCCTGGAGTGGATGTGGCACTCATTGCTGTGGGTGGGGATTGCTCACAGGCTGGACTGGATGATCCTGGAGGCTGTTTTCCAGCCTGAATGGTTCTGGCATTCTCATCATCACCAGACAATTCTTTTATATTTCAGCTCCACACCAAACAGCCCCAGGAGCAGGTGGAAAACATGATCAGGCTTGATTTAGAGTTTGACACTGATGTTCCAGTGGCTGGCACAGGAATCTGTTCATGTACTACATTTTCTCTGCCTGCAGCTGAACCTTTTGCAAAGGGCTTTGCAGCTGTGTGGTTGGCAAACCTTTACCCCAGCCCTAAGACTGGGGTGCATCAGGTGCAGGATGTGTGGAGCCTGGCAGCCCTGGTGCTGCTGAGAGCAGTTAATGAACAACATTTGACTCTGAGCTGTGAGGGCTGAGGCAGGAGTTTGCCTGGAGCCCTCATTCTCTGCACCAGGGTTCACCCACTGCCAGCCTGAAGTGAACAAATCACGAGGCCTTTGGGTTTTGTAAGATTCCTGTGCATCAACTGGTGTAAGAGGGCATCCAACTGCATCAATACTTCCCCTGTGACCTTGTAAAGACTTTGTCTGAGGTCTCTGTGTTTGGAGAATATCCTGCCTATATAGGAGAAATTCCCCTATCCTGAGGGAGAGGATTGTTAGGTGTGCAGGAAGGGGGCTGCCACTTGTGCCTCTCAGTAGAGAGTTGCTTTCTGTGTTCTCTGAGTAATAAAATCAAATAATTCCTCATCTAAAAAGCAGGGATAGTCATGGGAAGCAGAATATCTGCCAGCAGGAGCTCTTAAACCAATTAGAGCCTGACTTGCTGTGTGGTCTTTCCCTCTGGATGCTGCACTCCAGGCAAGTCATTTGCAGCAATAAAGCCCTGAGCTTTTTCCAGTGGTGCAGGAAGCCTTGTAAAGAAACCCTCCTCACCCTGGGAGTGCATATGGTCTGGGTTAATGGCTGGAAAGCTGTTTGGGAATGCAGCAAACTGTTCTGCAGCTCCTGGGCCACGAGAGGCCTCAGACAGACTGCTGAGGAATCCTGCCAAGCTGATCCCGTGGGCTCTGTGTGCTGTCCCTGTGCAGGTGGATGGTCTGTTCATCATTGGCTGGATGTACCTGCCCCCTCATGACCCTCACGTGGATGATCCCATGAGATTCAAGCCCCTCTTCAGGATCCACCTGATGGAGAGGAAATGTGCCACGGTGGAGTGCATGTATGGCCACAAGGGACCTCATAATGGCCACATCCAGGTGAGCTGCTCTGCCTCCCTTGTGTGCACTTTGGCTCTGGAAATGGATCCATCAGGAAGCTGGGAGAATTGTATCTCAGAGATATGGCTTTCACCACCCTGCTGTGTGTGTGGGCAGCAGCTTTACTCTCATTATGTGTCTGACAAGTGGTGTGGGCTGTTCCCTGCTCTGAATCTGTTCCCTGGCTGTTGTGCTGATTTCTGTTGGGCTGGGAGCACCAGGATGTGTAAGCTGGCCTTGGGCAGCTGCTGAGTGTGCCCAGGCAGACACAGACCTGTTCTGCAGCTCTCTCCATGGTGACACCTTGAGAAGGGGATGCAGCATCCATTGGATGCTTTGAAAAGCTTCCTGACAGATTTTCTTTAAAGGAGGAAGCTGAAATAGGGAAGCAGCTTAAAACTGTTATTTTCATTTGGGTGCATTGAGGTTTTATTGCTTTTATTTCTCTGTTCTGTAGCTGCTGCACTGGGTAGCAGTGAATGATTTCTCTGTTGTAATAAATCCAGTAATGTTTGTTTTGTAATGCATTTACTGGGAGCAGTCTTAGCTACATCATCCCAAGCATCTCTAGACAGGTGTGTAACCTGTTCAATTCTCCTCCCTGGTCACTACAGATTGTAAAGAAGGACGAGTTCTCCACCAAGTGCAACCAGACAGATCACCACCGGATGTCAGGGGGCAGGCAGGAGGTGAGTGCTCTGCCAGGGCTCTCACTGAGCCCCTTTGTGTGTCCCCTTCTGAGATCTGCCCTCAGCTGCTGCCCTTCTCATTTCTGTGTGACTGGGCCTGGATGAACCCCCAGGCTGGGAGCTTTTGGCTCATTCCCTGTTCCAGGCAGTTTTGTGTAAAGGTGCTCTTTGATCCCCAGCACCTTCCTCCTGTTTTGGTGGCAGAGCTGTCCAGGGAGGGTCAGCAGCACATCTTGGCCACCAGCAGCACTCCAGGCTCTGATGTCAGTGCCATTGCTGTCTGTTTAATTAAGATCTTTCAAGCACAGTGGATACCTGCTGGTCAGTGAGGCACTTCCCCACTGCTTGCCTTGCTCGAGGGATTAAAAGCCTCATTTGGTTGTTTCTCCTGTGTGTGTCAGCTCTGCCCAGCAAGGCAGATTCCTGACTGAAAGAGCTGTGTTTAAATGCAGGTAGAAATGGCAGGATGAATACCTGTGCCAGGTACTGCTGTTTGCTTCCAGCTGGTTCCACGTGACAAATCTGATATTTCAGCTGCTTTCTGAGGAATGCTGGAAAATGTCTGCTAATGGGAAACAGCTGGGTGAAAGGTTTAGTTAAGTGTTTTCTGGTGCTGGAGCAGATGAGAAATGCTTTAATACTTGCAAAGCTCCACGTTAAGTGTGCGTGGCTTTATGGAAATTGGAGGATCTGGCTTGGGAAGATAAAGGAGGCAGGTTTGGAATATCACTTGGCAGGCTGCTATCGCAGTGTAAGCTGTTATCACACCAACTCATGGCAGGGTATTAACTTGTCAGAGCTGCAGTTGGGGTACTTCAGGAGATGCTTTCAAAGCACCCTTTGGATTTAGATGCATCAGTATTAAATCAGCAGGATTTAACCTCCTAAACCCTCAGTGCTTTTCAAAAGCTTTTTTCTTTTGTGTTGAGCATGTTAGGACAGGGCACAGGAGTCAGCTTGTGGGCACACAAATGAGTTACTGTGAGAGGAAGAGTAGATGAGCCACTTTGCAGTGACAGGCCATGCTGATGCCTTTATTCTGAGGAGGTTTATGCTTCTACCTGGGATTTATTTGAAGGGGAGCCTGTTTATTGTGTGATCACCATAATCACTCTTTGTTCAGCCTATTTCCAAGCTTGTTCCCAAATCCAGCCACGTTTCCCTGTCCTTGGCAGAGGATGTGCCCTGTCTGTGGCTCTGCCAGTGAAATGTGCTGTCACAGAGTCACACACTGAAGCCACCCTGGGGCACATCAGTGAAGTGACCTCATCCTCCCCCTTTTCTCCTGGTGCTGCAGGAATTCCGGACGTGGCTGAGGGAGGAGTGGGGTCGGACTCTGGAAGACATTTTCCATGAACACATGCAGGAGCTCATCCTGATGAAGTTCATCTACACCAGCCAATATGAGTAAGGGCTGCTGCAACTTCACACTCTGCACACTCTGGAGCATTTTTTCCCCAAGATGAGGTTTTCCCTGGGCTTTCACAGCCAGAGGAATGTTGTGTCTCTGCAGTGCTTCCCAGCTGTACAGGGAGATGAGGTGGAATGACAGCAGTAGGAATAGGATTCCAAGTTCTACACAATAACTATGCACAGTAAGGTGCTTTTGAGTCATTTAACTCTGTTTAATTTGAAGACAGAGCAAATGCCTATGATCCCAAGGAGTGTCTGGTTATTATCCATATTAGTCTGTGTGCTCTGTAGTGCAGGAATTAGAGAGTCCCTGAGAAACTGGGGATTTTAACCAGCTCTCCAAGCTTCTATTAGCAGGCACCTCACTGTAGCAGATGTTTAAATATGCTTCACTCTCAGGTTCTCTGGGAATCTCAAGGGCTGAGGAAGTTTCCTTGCTGCAGGAATCTCCTGCTGTGCTCACGAGGATGGTGGGGAGAGCAGCACAGAGAGGGAGGGGGGAAATGCTTGCAGAGCTCTAAAGCAAATCCTGAGCTTGCTGCAAACACAGATCCTGCCTGTCTTGACAACATCCCCAAGCTGCTGGAGGAGCAGAATGCAAACACAGTGCTGCTGGGAAGGGGTTTTTTCTTGATTTCTGTGATGTTTTTCTCTTGCACAGCAACTGCCTGACGTACCGGCGCATCTACCTCCCCCCCAGCAGCCCCCAGGACCTGATCCAGCCAGGCCTCTTCAAAGGCACCTACGGGAGCCACGGGCTGGAGATTGTCATGCTCAGCTTCCATGGCAAGAAAGCCAAGGGCACCAAGATCACTGTGAGTGCATTTTCCTGTCTCCCAGGTGCTTGTGGAAGTGTTCTCAGTGGATGTGCAGGAGAGGTTTCTGTCTGGGAGCTGTTCCCCATGGGGATTGGTGGCACTGGGTGAATCTCAGCACACACACAGTGGCCGGGATCTGCTTTACAAAGTGTCTCCTGGCTCCCCCTTCCTTTCCTCTCCCTTCCAGCTGCTTTCTGTGAGCAGCTGGTAGCAGGTCACTGGAGATCCCCTGTGTGTGTGTGAGGAGCAGGTACCAGATGTTGGCAGCTCTTCACTGAAGTCAGGCAGGGGAGCTCCTTTCCTCCCTGCAGGGAGGGATTGTGCAGCTGCAGCTCTGACTTCCTTTCACCCTTGCAAGTACAGCTTTTGATTTAAAATTCTGCTTCTGGGAAGGGGAAAGCAGAGATGGCAAAAAAGGTCCAAGCAGGGTTTTTTTTGTTGTTGCCAGTTGGTGATTGTCGAACAGGGTGAACTATTAACAAGCTCAGGTGATGGCTCTGTAGCACTGGTGTGTGCAGCTGTGCTGTTCCTCCTGTCCCTAGGGAGATCCCAACATCCCAGCTGGACAGCAGACTGTGGAGATAGACCTGGCACACCCTCTGCAGCTGCCTGACATCGAGACCCTGCGTGACTTCAGCGAGCTGTCCCGCATGGTGCTGGAGGTGCAGGAGCAGGTGCGGCGCGAGGAGCAGGAGCGGGAGCAGAGGCAGGAGGAGCAGGAGCATTCCCAGCAGGCTGCCTCCCAGCCTGCCAGCCCCCTGGGAGGAGAAGGTGCTGAGGGGGAAGAGACTGCAGCTGGGGCAGAGGGGACCACCCAGGACAAGGCCCCGGCTTCCCAGCCCTTCGTGCTGCCCACGGGAGTGATCTCGAGGAATGAGGATTATCCCCGCACCTGCCGAGCCTGGTAACTGCTGCTTTTATGGCTGATTCGTTTTTGAGAGGGAAGGGGAAATCTTTGAGGTGTGTCCTGTATTTGTGTGCCCTTTACCTGCCTGTGGATCTCCCAGCCCCTTGGGCTCAGATTTCACAGAACCCCAGAATGGTTTGAGTTGAAAGGGACCTAAAATCCCATTTTTTTTCCAGTCCTGCCAGGGGCAGAGATACCTTCCACTAAACCAGGTTTCTCCAAGCCCTGTCCAACCTGACCTTGAACATTTCCAGGGCTGTGGAATGCACAGTCTCTAGTTCCTGCCTCTGCTGCCCAATTTCCCAGGCTTTGGTTTGTTCCCTCTCTCACCACGCTGTCATCTGCCATCCCACTTCCTTGCTAGATTTACTTCAGAAGCTGGCACCTCTCCTGAATTCCACACGCCCCCTTTTTTGTTTCATGTCCCAGAGCTGCTCAGCTCATATATTTAGAACTGTTGAAGCTGCTTCCCATTCCCATGTGTGTCATTGATGTTCCTTGCCTGTGGGAACACAGTGCTCTCTCCCACCTTTCCCTGGCCTCTGGTGCCTTGGGGCAGCCCTGGCAGGTGCTGAGCACCCCAGGCAGGAGGTGCAGGCATGCAGAGAGCTGTGCTGAGTGGGAGCTGGAGTTGGTGAAGCAGCACAGTAAATGAAGTGTGGAAAAAGAGCCCAAAAGCTGAGGCTTAGACAGGTGACCTTCAGCCAAACATCTGTGCTCGTGGAAAAACCTACCCAGAGCTGGTTAATCCCAGAAGGCTCCTGCTGTCACTGCTCAGTTGTGTTTGGATAAAGCCCTGCTCCACCTGCTGCTTGCTCAGAGCTTTGACTGACCTTTATTCCTCCTCAGGTCCTGGTAGATTTTTCTGCTTTTTAGATTTTTTTTCTCCCTTGAATTTCGCCTCTCTGGTTGCGCTCTCAACATTTGAAAGCCTTTGCTGTCCTGGGAGATTGAGCCTGTGCTGATCCTTGAGTTGCACAAGTTAATCTCAGATGGGTTTGGGGGCTGAACTACTGAAAAACCCAGCTTTGGTGTGCAGGTGCTAATTGGGATAACCCAAAGCAGGAACCTGCAAATAACAACGGGGAGTTATTACAGCAGCCTGAGAGGTCACTGGGGTGAGAGAAGGATGAGAATCTTGTTTGATGATCAGAAGGCTGGATTTATTGAAATATGATACATAATACATTATTACTATACTAATAGGAATAAAGAGAGAAGTTGCAGAGCTGCTAGGCTAAGAATAGAATAGAAAAGAATCTATAACAAAGTTCTGTGTCCAGGGAATCTTTCCCCGAACTTGCTCCTGTGATTGGCCCTTAATTGTACACATGGAACGTGAACCAATCACAGGTGCATCCTATTGCATTCCACAGCAGCTGATAACAATTGTTTACATTCTTCTTCTGGGGCCTTTGCTTCCCAGAAGATGCACAAATCCCAAAGAAAGGATTTCTGTGAAAAAATGTCTGCGACAGGGAGTTCCTTGTCTTAATAGAAAAACCGAGTGTAAACCTCGCTCTTCTGTCAGAGTGCCTTCACCAGAGTTTTGTGCTGATTTGTAACTAAACACTGGGTGGTGCTGCCTGTTCTCACACCTGTTTTGTCCTCATCCCCTGGCAGTTTTTATGGCACAGGCCTCATTGCTGGCCACGGCTTCACCAGCCCCGAGAGGACGCCGGGGGTGTTCGTCCTGTTCGACGACGATCGCTTCGGCTTCATCTGGCTGGAGCTGAAATCCTTCAGCCTCTACAGCCGCATCAAGGTCTCCTTCCAGAACGCCCAGGCACCCTCCCAGGAGGCCTTTGATGAGATGCTCAAGAACATTCAGTTCCTGGCTACTTGATGGGTGTTTGTGGTGCAGGACAGGGCTCGGGGTGGCCAAGGCTGCTGCGCTCCCCAGCCGGGCCGGCCGGGGATCCTCGCTCTCGGTACCTCTGGATAGAAGCATGCACTTTGAATAAAGCCTTTGTACCCCAAATGTACCCACATCCCTCTGCAGCCCTCCCTGACTGCCCTTTCCTCTGTGCCGCTCCACGCTGCTTCCCAGCAGTCCTTGTTTCCCAGGCTGTGCTTTGGAGAGCTGAAGGATCCTGCAGAGGAGGGAGCACACCTTCCTTAGTGCAAAACAGGAATGTGTTGGGACAAAACCAACTTCTGGTCAGAGCTGGACAGAGGAACAGGCAGTGACAAAGCACATCCTCCTCTCCAGAGCCTTTCTGTGGGTGCAGCTTTGCCAGGAGAGGTTGGTGTGATAACTTCATCCTTGCTCATTGCAGCGTGTGGTTTCCTCTGGAGAATCCCCTCAGCCAGGGCAGGATCCCCACTGCAGATGAGTGTGTGCAGCATTGGCCTGGCTTCTGGAGCTTGATGGATGTGCTGTCCCTGGAGCTCCAGGTCTGGCTGAGACCAGAGATGATTTTTTCTCCTTGCAGGAGCTGGGTGTGGGACTGGACATGGGTGTAAACTGCAAAAGCTCTGATGTGTTCAGACTGGTTTGTACCTGAAAGGTTTTCTCTTGCAGAGTGGGTCTGAAAAGGCACAGGAAGGAGCCAAAAGAGACCCAGCTGTGAGCTGAGCCCAGTAGGCTCCAGCTGGGTAGCAGAAGGTGCCACTGGTCCTGTGTGACCCCAGGGCTGCCATTCCTGCTCAGGTTTGCCCTTCAGAGTGCAGAGTGACAAGGGGTTGTCCTTGTACTGTGTGGCTTGTGGCTGCTGGAGTGGTGGGTGCTGTGCCCCACTCACAGAGCCCTTTTTCCCTTTCTTTTGCACTTGTTTGATCCCAGATGGTTTTGTGGCAGATCTGAGCTCCGGTGGGAGTTGTGTGCTGCAGGCAGGGGAGCAGGTTCCCTTCAGCTGTGCAGGAAAATCCTGGCCAGGGAGTGGTGCTCACAGCCATCTCCAGGCTGTGAGTGGTGCTGGGAACCATCAGCACCAACTCAGCCCTTTGTTGCAGCTGCCCTCTGGCTGTGATGACAAACTCCAGGCCCCTTCTCTTCTCCCCAGATCAGTGTCTAACAAACCCCTGCTGTTACAGCTCTGCAGTTTTAGGTCTGTGAATGTGTCTGGACCTGCTCTGGGAGGTTTCAGGCCCCTTCTGTGGAGAAGTTTCAGTCCCTGCCTGGTTCCAGTGCCTGTGAGCAGCTTTTGTTCTCACTCTCACAAGGGCTTTTTGCTTTTTCTGGCTCTCATGTGTTCCCTCAGCTGTGTGAGAAGCCAGGCTCCAGCAGCAGCTCATGTCACTCACAGGATTCATTCCTGTCTCTCTGGACAGAGTTCTCCAAACCTCTGGGAATTTGAAGGTGATTTAGGGCACTTTTTGCTTCGTTTCCTGCAGCTTTGTGAGGAGTGCCTCAGTGTTGGGGTGAGGAGCAGTTTCAGGCTGGAGAATAAGCTGGGAAAGGCAGGGTGGTTGTGAGGGGTTTCCTGCAGAGGGAGGAACCAGCTGGGATCTCACAGGGGTGAGAGGGAGGAAGGGGCTGCTCTGTGTGCCTTGGGTGGGCAGAGAGGGGCTGGAGCTGGAATTGGGCACCCCAGCCTTGCGCTGCTCCTGCCTGGTCTGCACAGGGGTTTCCAGTCTGGTGCAGGTTTCTGGGACACTGGAGATGTTCTGTGCTGGGTTAATGGTTGTGCTCAATCTCAGAGGTCTTTCCCAACCTAAATGATTCTGTGATTAGGACTTTTATTTGGTGTCTCAGTGGCCTGTTTATATTGGAATTTGCTGTTGGGCTGCTGCAGTCCTGCCTTGTGTCTGACAGCCCAAAGGGATGGGAGATGTCCCCTTGGGCAGCTGTTCCCATTGCCTGTCCCTAAAACCAGCTCTTCTTCAGCTGCATCTGTAGCTCTGATTGCAGATTCCTCCCCACTTCAATATCCCCACAAAAAAAAAAATCCTAAAGTTTTACACAACTGACTTGATAATTTTCACTTTCAGCTTTTAAATTACAATTAATTTTTTTTTAAATGGAGATTAAAATCCAGATTGCGTTGATTGCCCTGCAGGTACCTGAGGCTTGAGTCACTCTCCCAGGTACTGCCCTGTGTGTAGCCTCTGTCCTGTGTCACCTGGGCAAGGTGTCACCTGTTTGTTGTTGGCACAGGTTGTGCATCTGCTCTTCCCCAGGCTTCCTGTCCCTTCTGAGCCTTTCCAGTGGCAGTGCCAGGGGTCTCCTGATGGCCAAACCTGCCTGGAGAGAAGGGCTTTGGTGTAGGCTGATGCCCTGTGGGAATTTTCCCAGCTCTGCCTCGCCCCTGCAGTGGCATCTCTTTATTTATAACTCACCTGGCTGGCCTCAAAATGTCAGGATAATTCCCGATTAAAGGGAAAACTGCAGCTACCCCCTGGCTCCATTCTGTCTGGAGCAAAAGGAAATAGCAAATTTTGTATTAATATTCCTCTGATGCCTTTTCTCACCTTCTGCTGCTCCAAGCCTGGCAGGCTTTTGTGGCATTTCAGAAGAAAACTCCCTCTGCTTTGGCTGAGGGTGAGGAAAGCTGAGGGAAGCATCCAGTGCAGATGGATTTGGGAGTGCTGGGATGCTCCTGTGCCTGTTCCTTTGTTCATGGCTCTGTCAGTGCTTCCAGAGCAAGGCAGGATAACAAGGAGTTAAAATTCCTACTCTGGAACCTTTGGGAAAGGGGAGGCAGATTTGGGATCTGCAGTTTGGGGATGCTCCTGCTTTCCCTGTGCTGCCAGGGCTTTGCTGTGCTGGGTACAGGCTGTTCCAGCCCTGATTCCCCTCTGCTTCCCCAAACCCCTCTTTTGCAGCCCCTGGGATCCCTGTGAGAGCTGTTGACAGGGGTAATGTGTGCTGGGGCCCTGCAGATGGTGAGAAATCTCTGCTGCCGCCGTCTCCCCGTCCCGGTGGCTCTGCAGGAAATCTCGGGGACAATTGGCTGGATTCCTTCAGCCCAGATGGGTGGGAAGTGCTGGCAAGGATGGAAAACAACTTGTCAGGGGTAGGAGGACTCTTGGCAGGAGCCTTTTGGATTGAACAAAGCCTTTGCAGGGAGGTTGCAGAGCCCCAGTGGCCACTGCAGGACCTGGGGCTGAACTCTGGCCTGGGGACAGCTTGGGGACAAATGTCTGGTTCATGTGGGATGGCTTCTGCTCCTCCATCCTGCTCCCTGTGCTGTCAGAACACATGGATTTGGCCAGCTGGAAAACAGGAACACCAAAGCTCCACTTTGTTTGCCTGGTTTGAGCTGTGAATGTGCTGTGCTCAGGCTGGGGGGATCACTGCCCTCCTCGGGGGTTTGTCAGGCTGGATTTCACTGAGGAGGAGGAAAAGGGATGGAATTGTTTGTGAATTTGGGAGTCAGCTCCTACGGCTGCCCTGGGATGGGACAGCAGCAGTGGGAGGGCAGCTCCTTAGGAAATGTGTGCTGGGGAAAAAGGGAATTAATTGTGTGCAAACGTGCCTGGAGGTGCCAGCTCCCAGGAAAAGCCCAAACCGCAGCTGGCTCCTGTTCACTTCTCAACAAGGATGACTTCTTCTTGCTTTTTGTTCATTTAAACCTAGTGGAACTCGATGGGAGTGTTGGGTGTTGTGTGGAAATGGGTTGTTTAGGCTCAACTTGCTAGTTTAGGGAATGGTAATGTGTTAACTCTGTCTTGTAGCTGGCTGCTCACGTGGCCGCTGATGCTCTGTGCTGTTCAGCCTCCAAAGGCTCCTGCTGCCCTTCCAGTGGGACAGGGAATTAATGATTTGGGGTGTGCAGTGGAGGAGAGAGGTACCAAACTGGGAGTGCCACTGACCTTTGGGTGCTTTGTGTGCTGAACTAAAATGTGTGGTTCTGGTTTTTGTTGGGATTGCAATCCTTGGAACTTCTGAGGCAGAGAGCACTTGGCTCTGTGTTCATTAGCTTAATTAAAGCAATCTGCACTTTTGTTTTGTCATTGATTACTCCCCCTTCCCATGTGGATTTTGCACTCACCACTTTAACATGACACTGATGGATTAATCTGGGCATTTCCTGTAGGTTTTGAGTGTGGATAAGTCTCTATAAAAGTATTAAAAATCAGGGTGAAACTTAAATCCCTGCTTTGTACAGAGGGCAGTGGGGGGAAACCATTGGACATGCACCACCACAAATATCCGTGTGGAACATGAGAAATTGCATTTTAACCACCTCACCTGTCCAAGGGCTGGGGTTTTGCCTGCTCTTTTCTTGGTGGCTTTGAGAGGAATGGGATGTATAAAATCAACACCTGGCCTGCTTCACTGCAGGTTCTGGAAAGCTGAGCAAGCCCTGTGTGTTACTTTTACACCTGATCATTGTTACCCAAGGAGCCTTTTCCAGTTTCAAATAATAAAAAGCAAAGTTTTGTGAACTTAGTTCTGTTTGCTTCCTTTTTTTCCCCCCTCTGTCCCAAAGGAGAATGTTGGGCCAGTTCCACCCTCCTGACGTGCAGCTGCTGGGGTAGGAAATAATTCTCCCTTGTTTGGGTGCTGGGTGAGCAATTCTGGTTTCTGAAGATGTCAGACACACATCCCACAGCTCATGCTGTGAAATCCCAGTTCCTGCCTTATCCCTGTTTTCTGTCCTCTCCTTTTGGGGTGCCTGTGGTGCCTGGTTCCCTCCCCCAGCAGGTTTGGGGTGGCAGAAGTGGCACCCAGACCCTGACAAAGCCTCCTGCCCTCCCAGGCCCAGCTTTCTCTGTCTGAAAGGAACCCTGAGGAAATCCTGGATATTTTTTCCCCCCATTCTTCCACTTGGTCTGAAAGGGATCAGCTGGCAGCAAACCAGGGATGAGGAGGGGGATGTGGTGGTGTCAGCCCCTGCTCTGTGGGATCAGACTGAGAGCTGTCTGTGTTTCCTACACTTGGAATTCACACCCACTCCAGCTCTGCTTTCCCAAGGGATCCTGTGGAAATGGGAGAGCTTGTGCCATGAGCTCAGCTGCCACCAAGGAGCTTTTCCTCCTCCTCCTGCTGCTGCAGGTCCTGTGCCAGCCCCGTGTTCCCTGTCCTGCCTTTCCTGGAGGGAATGATGTCGTGCTTTGAGTTTTGCAGCCCAGTTCTGCTGGTAAGTTCATGGCAGCTGATGGATTTCGAGACAAACCCTGGACCATGGAGCTCTGAACTGCCCAGGTTCAGGCAGGAACTCCTCCTAATCCTTGCCTGTGCCATGACCCAGCTGCCCTGAACATGTGTGGGTGATGGACTCTGCTCCTGGCTCCTGGTTTAATGTCACCTTGTCCCTCCAGAACCCCTGTGGGGTCAGTCCCGAGGGGTTTGATTCCTTGGGATTCCGTCTTGAGGGGTTCAGTCCTGTCCTGTGGGATCAATCCCGTGGGATTCTCCCCGAGCAGCCGCTGCCGGGCGAGGCTGAGCCGCGCTGTGTCCGCCAGGGGGCGCCAGGAGACCGGACACGGGATTGGGATCGGCACGGACACGGACACGAGTGGGATTGGGATGGGAATGGACACGGACACGGACACGAGCGGGATTGGGATGGGAATGGACATGGACATGGACACGGGTGGGACTGGGATGGGAATGGACACGGACACGGACACGAGTGGGATTGGGATGGGAATGGACACGGACACGGACACGAGCGGGATTGGGATGGGAATGGACATGGACATGGACACGGGTGGGACTGGGATGGGAATGGACACGGACACGAGCGGGATTGGGATGGGAATGGACATGGACATGGACATGGGTGGGACTGGGATGGGAATGGACACGGACATGGACACGAGTGGGACTGGGATGGGAATGGACACGGACACGGACACGGGTGGGACTGGGATGGGAATGGACACGGACACGGACACGAGCGGGATTGGGATGGGAATGGACACGGACACGAGTGGGATTGGGATGGGAATGGACACGGACACGGACACGGGTGGGACTGGGATGGGAATGGACACGGACATGGACACGAGTGGGATTGGGATGGGAATGGACACGGACACAAGTGGGACTGGGATGGGAATGGACACGGACATGGACACGGGTGGGACTGGGATGGGAATGGACACGGACACGGACACGAGTGGGATTGGGATGGGAATGGACGTGGACACGAGTGGGATTGGGATGGGAATGGACACGGACATGGACACGAGTGGGATTGGGATGGGAATGGACATGAACACGAGTGGGATTGGGATGGGAATGGACACGGACATGGACACGAGTGGGATTGGGATCGGCACAGACATGGGCACGGACACACGTGGGATTGGGATCTGCGTGGACACAGACATTCATGGGATCAGGATTCACGTGGGCACTTACGGGACCTGGATCAGTACAGACACAGACACTCGTGGGGTCGGGATCCGTGTGGACATGGACCCTCGAGGGATCAGGGTCAACGTGGGCACTCGTGGGACTGGGAGCCACACAGACGTGTGAAATGTTGCACCCTGAGGCTCTTGGGTGAGGCCACCTGAAACCAGGACCCCTGGAGGTACCTGTGGGACACTCCGGTGGGACTCAGCCCCTCTGTCCCTGCTCCAGCACCAATCCACTGTCCCACATCCCACCCCTCTCCAGCTGATCCCAAGTGAACCAGTTCCCATCATCCCATCTCCAGTACCTGAAGGACAACCCCAAATTCCCTCCCCTCTCTCTCTCCCCTTCATATCTCACCTCCCTTGGAAGCATTTTCCTCCATGGGTGGCTTCTCCCTGGGGCTTTCTGTCACCTTGTCATCCCTCTCCTCACCTCAGGGAACCCAAATTATTCCTGCCCAGGGACACCAGAGCCGCAGTCCCTTGTGTGTCCCCTGTCCCTCGATCCCAGCCCTGCACCCAGCCCATCAGGGTGTTTTTCCTGATCTCCCAGGACCCCGAGCTCCATTCCCTGCCTGGCTCAGCCCTGCGTGCTCCTGCTAATCAGAAACAAACGAGGGGATGCTGCTGAGTGATGAGCTGGGTGGATCCGCTCCATTTAGGAGTTCTTGGCTAAATAACACGGAAATTTCATTTTCTGGAAAAGAGAGGCCTTGGATATTACTTGAGCACATTTCCAAGGGTTTTTGCTGTGAAGGGAAAAGTTGGCTTTGCTTGGGACGTTTCCCAAGGATTCTCACATGGACAATGTGCTTATTTCACCCATGATGGAGGGAGGGAGGGATGGATGGATGGATGGATTAAGGGAGGGATGGATGGATGGATGGATGGATGGATGGATGGATGGATGGATGGATTAAGGGAGGCATGGATGGATGGATGGATGGATGGATGGATGGATGGATTAAGGGAGGCATGGATGGATGGATGGATGGATGGATGGATGGATGGATTAATGGAGGGAGGGAGGGAGGGAGGGATGGATGGATGGATGGATGGATGGATGGATGGATGGATGGATGGATGGATGGATTAATGGAGGGAGGGAGGGAGGGATGGATGGATGGATGGATGGATGGATGGATGGATGGATGTGCTTGTCCAGCACACAAGCAGCCAGAGCAGGTCCCTGCTGTGCTTCCAGAGGATTTAACCCTTTCCCTTCAGCCTTTTGGGGCAGGACATCAGCTCCTCCCGCTGGGTTTGAGCTCCCTCCTCTCCCCAGCCCTTCCCTGCCGGTTTCCCATTGGAGAGGGCCCAGGGAGGCGAGGTGGAATTACAGCATTACAGACAAAGCTT